GTGGTCGTGTGTTTGTGGTCGTGTGTTTGTGGTTGTGTGTTTGTGGTGGTGTTTGTGGTTTTGTGTTTGTGGTTGTGTGCTGTGGTTGAGGTCCGGCAGGGAACACTGGGCGCGGATGGTCGTGGTTGAGGTCCGGCGGGGAACACTGGGAGCGGATGGTCGTGGTTGAGGTCCGGCAGGGAACACTGGGCTCGGATGGTCGTGGTTGAGGTCCGGCAGGGAACACTGGGTGTGGATGGTCGTGGTTGAGGTCCGGCAGGGAACACTGGGCGTGGATGGTCGTGGTTGAGGTCCGGCAAGAAACACTGGGCGTGGATGGTCGTGGTTGAGGTCCGGCAGGGAACGCTGGACGTGGATGGTCGTGGTTGAGGTCTGGCAGGGAACACGAGAGGAGAAGGAGAAGGAGGAGGAGGAGGAGATGGTCTGACATAAAATCTAACAACCCTCGCCTGACAGGTGGGGAAAAAGTCATTCTTCTAATTCACTTTGTTAGCTTGACCTAGCAGGACCTAGCATTAGCTTCCATCCTTTCTAAGGCTTAACATTTTCTCTCCAGCACTTCTGAGGTTTAATTTGATGGAGTAAGCGTTCTGGTTCTAGGTGTGACCTGTCTCTTGCACCAAACGGAGAAAAGTTCATCATTCACTTCTGAAAATTCACGGTCGTTCCTGTTTTCTAAGTGCACGTACTATAGGTAATTGAAAATTCGTTTCTCAATTGAATCGTAGACCCCCGTTCAGTCTTTGATATTAAAGGGCCAAATGCCTCTGGGATGTCTTCAGCATAAATGGCACTAATCAGAAGTGCCAACACCAGGAGTTGCATTCAGTTGTCCCTCGGTTGGCTTAATCTTCGGTGTCAAAGAACCCTGGGCTCACTCCTGCGAAATTAAGATCAGAATCTTTTTCATGGCTTCCATACCGAAAAATAACCAATTGTTGCTTCGGTATGGTCTAAATAGATTCTTAACAAATGTCTATAACTGTCTCGAGCGTTTTTACGCTAGGTCTAGGCAGGACTTCCCTCCTTCGTGTGCTTCTATCGGGAGTGCCCAAAGTCAGAGCCTGCAGGAAATCAAGTACCATGCTCCAGCCCTTGCCTTAGATGAAATTGAAGGGCTGAACAAAATTGTTTCAATGTGGTTTGCCTTATTGTGCGCTTGGCATGTCAGCAAGCAATTAGATCAGCAGTCCTGCAACTGTCGACATGATCCTCTACCTTGTTCAACTGAGACCATCCCCGCGATCACTTTCAACAATGGGCTGGCACAGATGCATAAGAAACCAATTCAGGTTTGATCACAATGGTATGCTTTGCAAGCCAGACCGAGTTGTTGGGGTGGCTTGGTTCCACCACATGCCGCCAGGCAATGCAATTGCTTGAGAGCATGCGTTTGAGTATGCCAGATGTAACTGCCATGCAACGCATGAGTCAGATGCAAGGCGGTGGCAGGCGTGGGTGGAGTCTTTGGGTGAGCCAAATCATAATATACCGAAGGAAAGAGAGACAGATGTGCAGAGCAGCAGACAGTCACATGAGCTGAAACTCGTGGACAATTGTTTTGATAATTTTAGTTATTATATAGTGGCCACATACCGCAACATATGTAGATGCAGAACACACCAATCCAACAGTCCACAGCAACGCTTGATTGGCCCTGGCAGCTTTACCTTACCGAAAGGGCCGGAGGAGCGTGTTGGGCGTCGAACAGCATCTGTGACCTCTCTTTACTTTTTATGAGTCAACAACAAGGACGCTTGATATGTTTCAGAATCGTCATCCGCAATCCTCAGCAAAACACCTGGCAATCGACAGACAGTAATTGAGTTTTGTGAGGCTGGGCATGGCATGGAAGGATGGCTGACCTTGGAATGAGTAGGTGCCACTAGTACGCATTCCATGTGCAGCGCTCATGAGTCCTGCTCAAGAATTGGAGCAGGAAACATGGGTGAATCATGGTGGAACCAGACTCAGAAGATGCAGAGCTCCCTCAATAGACCGGACCCGCCGCGAACCTCGTGCTCGTGGTGGTTACCCGCAGGAGGTGGTGCGGACCTTATGCCAGGTGGCGCCCGATGCGGGGCGGCCTCCACCCGAGGCTGGGTGCATCGGCCCCGAACTCGGGGGGTCCGCAGGGTTCTTCGTGTTTTTTGGGGCCTTGAAAGGCATTTGATGCACTTTTGATGTACATTAGGACTGACTCGATTCTTCAAGCTTGCCTCCTGAACAATCAAAGCAATGAAATTGCTTTGATTGGGTCGGAATCTGCCGGGCACATGACAGCAATAATTTGAAACATTTCTATGGCTTGCTTCCTGAGAATGGTCAGGGCCATGGTGCGGTGTTGGGAGAGCAAACACTTTGGACTATAGTAATGCAATGTAACTGTAACGCATAATGTGCTGATGAATCAGCCACCTTGCAAGATCTTGCAAGGGACTTCCAGTGGGATGATTCATTGCTACTTGGTTACTTGGGTCAATGCTAGTTTCACTGGCTCCACTGGCTTTGGTTCACACCAGGGCTCCGGGTGAGCAGCCAGGTGGTGGGTGCTGCCCTCAAGGCGGCGGGCCTCCCTGCCACTGACGAGAACTTGGAGAAGGCCACCGGACTGCCAAGCGAAGTGCTACACCTGCTTGAAAGTCACTGCCCTGTGGCTTGGTGGGTGGGGGACTATGTCTTGACATGTCTTAACTATGTCTTGTGGCATGTTGAGTCATGTCAGGCGCTGCGAGAAGCGAAAGGCTGTGCTCCAAGCAGTGAGGCGCTGGAGATGGGGAGATGATGGGTAGGAGGGTGGGGCATGGGTCCAAGACAATGGCGAAATCCAACACTGAACACGACGAGTCTGCTTTGGGCATACTAGTGAGAGGATGGACACGAGCATCATCAGCACCAGCTCTGCCCAAGGACATGATCGCCGCCCGCATGGCTGCAGAGCACTACGGCGCGCAGCCGTCAGGCGGGACCGTCGTGGCGAAATGCGAAGCTGGACGCTTCGAGCCAGTGCAGCCGCGTTTCCGAGCGGATTACTAAGATCCGAAGACCTTTTGAGGAGGTACTTGGATCTCTACTATAGGATTTGCTTTTGTGCGAAGCTGAGTCATGTGCGAAACGCTGCAAGGCTTTGGCACCTCCAGCAGCAGCATTCCGCCAACGGCAGGCCCCGAGATTATTAAGCTCGCGCTTCGCGAGAACCAGCACAGACATGGGCGATAAAATACAGTAAATCTATATATAATCATATAATCATATTCATGAAGCATATGAGATTCATCACACCTGTTTTTGTAGAAGGAAGATGGGGAAGATGCATGTTGAGCCTGGACAGTCTGTGGTTGTTGGCCCACTTCACAGAGATGCGTGTCGTGCATGTTTGGCTTGTGCCCTTTTCGCCTGAACTTCACGTCCAGTTCTCACCATACAAACGTTTGATTGAGATAGAATGAGATAGATATCGCAGGTGGTAAAGTATCTCACCCGGTTGTGACTCTGTAGACTAAGCTTTGACAACAGAAGACGTCTCAGACAAATTAGGCATCAGCACGTCCAGTCTCATGGAGGAGCCCCGGCTGTAGGAACTTCATGTGCTACATGTGGTTGTTGCGGCTTTTGCTGTTGAGCGCTTGCGTGGAGGGCTTCAACCAAGTACCATGTGAACACTTAGTGGTGGAGGATTGTGGCTACAACTTCTTCAGGGCGGTCTATGAGCAGTTTCATGAAGCAAAAGAAGAAGTGCTCATCATGTCGTTCTTTCTGAGGCCCCGCTTGAAGCTTTTCAGCTCTGATCCATCGAAACCACCTGATACCTCCTTGACTGATTTGGTTTTAAAGGCGGTGCAACGGAAAGTTCATGTGTGGATCATGGGATGGGACAACGCTGCATCAGAGAAGGTCTTGGGCTACTTTCAGGATCATGAGTATGAGTTGCTGTTTGAAGCCGCCCAAGAGAACAGGGCCTTTCTTCATTTGGTTCTGGACACCGGACGCCAATTCCTGGCTTCTGTTTTTTTACCTACCCCACATCAAGTCGGTGGTCTTTGATCGCCAAACCGCCTTTGTTGGCGGCACCGATTTCACCGAGAACCGCGATGACACCCCCGAACACCTGCGGCCAGACCAGAGGGTCGTGCAAGTGCCCATTGATGCCAATAACCCCACGGGTAACCAGAAACCTTGGCAAGACCTCATGATGAGGCTTTCCGGCCGCGCTGCAGAACAAGTGGCCATGGTTCAAGTGGAACGCTGGTGGACCTATTGTGAATCAATTGGATTGGCACGTGCACAGGCGCTGAGGCCGGTGGCGGCCATTTTGGATAGTACACTCTGGCATGTGAAGGGCGCCTTGCACAGCAGCCTTTGGAAAGATCAGCAGTGTGCTGAGCTCCCCACCCGAGGCCTTCTGGGAATCTTCAAGCTGGAAATGCACGGACGCAACACCACGCGGCACATCCGCATTGAAACTCCCAAGATCCAAAGTGAAGCCTTAGAACCCAACCTGGATGTCTTGGTCAACTTGTCGGTGGGACATCCTTTGCATGTGAACCTCACCGGCCTGCATGCCTTGGACCGAAAGGTTCCGGCCTCGGTGCACTTCGATATTTTAGGACAACGCTACACCGTCTCGGCTGGGCAGCCCTTCACCTTGCCCTTCTATGGCTCTTCGATCACGGCCCAGTGGCTCCCGGAAGGTTTGAAGCCTGGCGCCTTTGGGCAGATGTGCCAGATCACCTTGTCTGGTTCGAACATGTGGATGGGGACCAGTGCAGTACTGACTGAGAGCTTAGAAACTTACTTGCGGATGATCCGCAACGCCAAGCGATACCTCTACATCGAGAACCAGTATTTCTCCACGGATTTCCCATCTGCTTCTGAAGAGTGTCAGCATGCACATGATCCGGCCCGAGCAGTGTTGTTCAGCGGAGCCAACAATCGGATCGGTGAGGTCCTGTTGGATCGCATCAAACGAGCCGTATTACTCCGGGAAGACTTTTCCGTGGCCATCGTGTTCCCTTTGAGCACTGAGCCGGGAGCATTTTACCCAAACCTCAGAGGTGCCTATTGCTTTGAAGAGGCGGTGGAAGAGTTTTGCCAGAAGCAGGGCATTACAAACTGGCGGGACTACTTCTCCTTCTTTTTCTTGGCCAATGCCGTCGAAGTACCACAGGAGACGGGCCAATCGCCCCATTTGAATGCCTTCTATGGCATCTATACGCACACAAAGACCATGATTGCAGACGACCTCATTGTCTATGTGGGCTCAGCCAACATCAATGATCGTTCCTTACTGGGGGACCGCGATGCGGAATTAGGGATCACCACTTGGGGCGGTCCCTTCCCACGACGTTTGCGGCAAACCTTGCTGAAGCATCACCTCCAGGATGGCTATCGAGGGCTCAGCACCTCCCGCTTCGTGGGATCCTTGAATGATGTGGCCATGCAGAACGCAGAGGAACTGAAGGAGACCATGGGGATTTCCTTTCCCGAGGGCACCTTCAAGGATTCGAAAGGCCAGAGTTGTCGACAGCGCTAGGGCCTGAGGGGTACTCGTAGTTCTTAAATGTTTATATTGTTTGATGATTCTTCATGTGCACGTGCACTTGCACTATACTCTATAAACAATTCGATATCGACCTTAGGCAAGCTCTTAAGTCGGTGTCATAAAAAAGGAAACTCAACCAGTCCCTCCAGTCCTTGCGTGGGCGTGGGATTTTTGCGAGGTCAAGTGACGCAGCTCTTTGGCATGGAAGGCTTGCTGAACCACGCGCCGCTCCACGCCGCCGCCATCCCCTACCCACGCTCGCGGGTGGTGGCGGGAGGCGGTGCCAAAGATCACTTCGACTGGTTCAAGGTTCAGGGCCCACGCGCACCCAGATTACAAGGAGGGTCCAGCCGTGTGACCCGTGTGCTTCCTGTGATGAGTCATGATAAGTCCTCACATTTTGGGGTCATGTTTAGACCAGAGCCACGAACCGTGTTTTAATGTTCAGGAAATCTAGGACATGTTCTAGGCTTTTATTTGGCCCAGGACATTTGTTCCCCTGGTCCCGGACCATCTGGGGCATGCCAGCGATGACGCAAATCGCACAGATTTTCTCCAAGGACTTGACCTACCGGAGGCTCGAAGGGGAGCAGGATCTGCCAGAGGAGACCTTGGTTTAGGAGACTTTGGTTGAGGAGACCTTGGTTTAGACACGGCCAGGACAGTCCGAACATGACTCAGAGGAGTCACAGCTGGACCCGAAGACCGACGATGGACCTTCACGGCAAGGGAGGCAGAGCATGCCAAAGCATTGCCATGTTGGTAGCCGATACCAGACGTGCCAATCATGGACACGTGAAGTACTGTACATAGATGAAGCAGACGGAGCAAAGCTTCAGATTGCCAAGTCTTTGCGTCCCAAAGCGGTTGGAGTTTGCATTCGTGTATTAGTGCCAGCGCAGGGATCTCCATATAGTCATGTCTAGCCCCAGCCCTTCGCGCTACTTGCGGAGGAACAAGATAAACGACGCGTTTTGCAATGTGTTACCATCATATGCAGCATGCATGACTGATTTCATGTATATTCTAGTCCAGCCGCTGGTTCTTCAAGTTAGGTGTAGTTTCAACTGCACCTAACTTACACTAACTTGAAGAACCAGTTGTTGGAACTGCTACTGCTATTGCTTGTTTTTCATTGTGTTTGATGCTCAGAAGCTCAAGCAGGTTCAGGCTACTGCGCCGCAGTTGGAAACTCGCGCAGCACGGGAGCACCTTCACGTTCGGTTTTTGGACCCTGACAACATCCATCGGCAGGATCCAACACCCAAAACCAGGACGGAATTGAAATGGCGATGCTTGATAGGGTCTTTTTTGTCATTTGATGACTAAGGCCTTTCCAGGCCTACATTGGCAGCAGTTGATTGGATTTGTTCATGAAAGTGTATATATTATATATTTATATAGTTCCTTTGGAGACTTTGACATGCTTGCGCTTCCAATCCCAGTATGGTTTTGAATTGGTTTTGATCAGTTTGTCGCACAAATCGTCCCCAAGGAAGCACCAGTCGCCCAAGCAGCGGCCCCAAGCCTGAGGATGTCATTCAGGCTTGTAATTGGGACGGGGTTTGCAGTTCCTCCGGCTGCTTGAAGCACTGAAAACCGATTGTGGCCAGCATCGAGGTTCTAGGCTTCAAGGGAACTCTTAAAGTATCTTAAAGTATGTTTCGAACATCTTTGTGAATCGCTTCTAAGATCTTCACATACTTTGCGGTTTGTTGAGTTGGTTTGCGAGATCCTGCGGTTTGTGTTGTTCTTCACATCTTCCAACTCAAACCGCACGAGCTGCGCTCCATCTCACTCACTCGCAGCGATGAGGCACTGCTCCAAGCGGCACCGGGCCTTGGGCAGCCACCCCCAGAGGTGGTCGGGATGGCCTTGCGCCAGGCCAGACCTTCGACTTGGTCGGGGTATTGGTGAACCAGTGGACAGTTCTGTGGGCTTCGGAGTGCTGGTTGACTCGAAGAAAGCTGAGCCTACTGGTTACTGGTTCTCCTATTTCGTCATGGAGTTCAATTACTGGTCCCAAAGTTTTGTTTAGCAGTCACCCAGACCATGCTGGCGGCCTACTGCAGCCAAAGGGAGGGGGTGTTGAGAACCCTTCCTTTTAGGATTCCACAGGGCAGATGTAGCTGGTAGCTGACGTAGGGTGGACTCTCCAATATTATTGAAGGGGTGGAGGGAAGAGGCGAAGAATTCGATGGATTTTGGCCCTGCATGATCGTCATGTGTTTTCCTTTGGGCAGATTCCTCAACCCATTCGCCAGTGAAATTCGTGGGTGTTTTGTGATGGCTTTGCCTCTTCGGGCCTGGACAGTAGGGCAGTCGCCATGTGGACAGATGCAAGCAAGCACTGCTGAGCTGGATTAAGATTAAGATTAAACGATGATTAAACTGATAGAGATGACTGCTTGTGTTGTGTGTTGCCACGGGTCCAGGAAGTGGAGGGGCCCATTTGGGTCTATATTTGACCAGATGTGTCCAAGTCCTAAGTGTTTCCTCATGCATGTACCGGTCATTCACTGCCACATCCCTCTCCTCAAGGCTGGAGTCTCAGTGAATGAGGAGAGCCGCAGCCGGATGCGGAGTTGGAAGTTGCAAATGACCTGGGATATCATTATGAGATCATGCCATACATCGTGCCATGCTCGCGCGATCCATGTTTGTTTGGCGATTACATGGGGATCACTTAACATAAAGCTACTAGTAACAAGAAGCTACTAGGGGCTCCTGGCCTCACTACTAGGAACAAATAGCTACCAGTAACAAGAAGCTACTAGTAGCAGTCCATTCTGCTCAGGGAGCCGCACGGCGCTTTCTCGCGCGCCATTGAGGACACCGCGCGGCGAGCCTTGGCCGCTTCCGGCGACCGGACCCCCTCGCAGCACGCCATCCGCATGGTGTTGGCTGCTGGGTGCGGCCCTGGATGTTTGCTCCAGTGGTTGAAGCATGTGAAATGAAGTGAAACATCATTTGTGCATGGCATAGTCATTGAGTCTTGCGTGTTCAGCCGCAATCAACTGACAGTCAGGACTCGACTCACGATGAACTCATCCTGCAATTCTGATAGCTTTGGGCATGTGTGCGGAGATGGTGCAGTCGAACAGCATGCATTGCATTATCCAGTCATTAATGGACTTATATAATCCAGCTCTTTGAAAGAGATAATTCCATGCCGTCGCCAGGCAGGATGATGAGTGAAGCAAGCAGGGTTGCTGAGTGGAAAAAACGAGGAAGTCACTTCGCGTGTGGCATTCCAGCTTGGCCGCAGAGCAAATCGCGTTGTGAGTGAGGTGGCCGCTGCATGCAAGGCTTGCATGACAGAAAGGGCCTATAATTAATTCTCAACTGCCAGCTGGCCCGAAACCAGAGCCCCCCCAAGTTTGCTATTTACGGCATTTGTTCAACGATGTATGCACATCAGACGCAGGGGCTGCAGCAATGCTTTCAGTTTGATGATTTCCTCTGGTCACACTCCCCAGAGCCCACACTGTGTAAATGATTGTAGGAAGGCCTCAGAAGTATCCAGAAGTCTCCAAGCTGCTGTGGGCTCCAGGACAGCGTTGTCAAGGAAAACCTGAGCTGACTTGAGGTATCGACAAACAGGCGCTATTCAAGCTCATTACACCATAGTGTATAGGTTGAATAAGCTAGGTCGCGGACTTTGGTTATATGATTGTTTGATGTCGCCTTTTTGTTGAAGACCCACAGACAGTGCCATCAGGCTTCTTGGTTTCTATGCCCATGACATGAATCTATGGCCATGGCTTTTGCCCTTAGCTTCGCTTGCATTTGCCCGGATTCCAGCTTCAGGCCTGCAGCTCTGGCTTCGGTGTGGGACGCGCCACCAATAATAGCCTTGGATTTGATCACTTGAGTCACTTGATGTGACTTGCGCTGATTCGACCCATGTCCAACCCATTCACACTTGGTACACTTGCCAATTGAGCGGTGGGGGTGCTGTACGAAGAAAATCCATCATCGGGTGGCAGAAGGAGGCACCGAGATCGAGCACCTCCTTTCGCAATCTTTTGCCCAAAGGTTTGCGTCCTGGTGCCCGAGCCAAGAAGCCTGACTTCGCGATGCTCAGATGCAAATCAGGTACTAAATCACAACAAATGCCTTGTATTCGTATTATGCATTTCTCAACTTGATTTACGACAACGCGGCAACGTGGGGCCATGGAGGTTGTAGGCAAGTATGACTATTGACATTGCTTCAATATATATATATATAATTGCATGAACCAAAAATGAGACTACAACCGATGTCTTCTCGATTTGGTGTGCTGCAGTCGCACATCGGCAGTCGTAGACAGACAGCTATCATCCCAGGCTTCCTCTACTCACGTGGGCGCAGCGGACTTGTGCCTGAGACTTATTAAAAAAATAAATATATATATATATATATGAGATATTGCATGTCCCTCTTCTTGAATGGAGCGAAACAACTGCAGGTCTTTACAAGACGATTCTTCTCAGTGAGGAGCTGAATTGCAGGTGTTCAGGCCAGGTTATTCGAACAATCCTAGCAGGTCCTAACAAAGACATTCTTTTCAGAACAATAACGCGCGGTTATGGTCAGCTCGATACGCTATACAATGGCTAAGGTGGCCCCACTGATGCAGCTGTGGGCGACTTCACCAAGGAAGAATGGCTGGCGGGAGCTGCGCTGGCGCGCCTCTGGGCAGCACGGGGTTGAGACGCAATCTTTGGGAGCTTGGTGCGGATTATTGGTGATTGAGTTGCACCGGTTGTGGAAGGTTCTGCGAAGTGGGTGGAGCAACTTTTGGGCATCAGACAATTGATCCAAGTGCTCACTTTTCACAGACCAACAATATGTTACTGCAACTCTTAACGTGCTCTACACTACCATTGTGAAAGCATGACCAGATGCCTACCCCCTACTGTCGAGATATTTCCTGAACACAGACAGGCCAACAATTTCTCATTTCACAGTCACTTCTGGAGAACAGGTCCAACAATGTCAAATCTGTGACGGCCTGTGCCTCCATGACAGACAATACGACCTCCACCCATCCAATGTGAAACCATGTGGCGAGAAGCAGGTTCGTGTGCCGTGCCAAGGCTTGGTAAATGGCAGCGGACATTTGCATTGGCCTCCCAGAAGCGGTTGAAGTTTGGAAACTGCAGAGGGGAATCCAACATATTGAAGAAACTGCTAGAATCTGTTTGCCATTTCAGCTCAGGCTGATGATTAAGTTGATGAATTCGTAGGGAATGCCTTTTTGTTAAACGCAAGGTCCAGCATGGATTTGAGAGATGCTGAGAGGGCTTTATTCACTTTGGATCCTGACCCAGGAAACGTCGACATTTTTTGGTTGGACTGCCTTGCCCTAAACGAACGCTTCTGCGCATGTCGCGAACAACCTACTGTTCGGCACATCACCGCGGAAAAAAAAACACTTTTTCCTTGCAGCCGAGAAGCTAGAGTGCCAAAACAGAGCAGGTCACCCCCGGAATTAGTCACTTTTTGCCGTTGGGGGTGTCAATCTAGCAATGATGCTTTGCTGGAACCAGGCGCTTTGCTCGCACTGGTTGGCTTGTGGGCAGCATGAGTCTTGAGCACATGGACGAGGCCTTGCTGGAATTTGCTCAGAGCGGCTGGCATCTTGGTGGTATGTGGTGGCTGAGGTTGTGATTTCTTGTGCTGTGATATTGTTTGTCCTGGGTCCTTTGGAAGACTCTTGTCCGTTGAGCTGACTGCTTGAACTTCGGCCCGTATGTTTGGTTTTTTTGGGTGGGGGGATTCTGAGTTTATATCACGTCATGCCGTGTGTTTGCCACACCAGCAGGGCATGCAAAGTGCCAGCAGGCCATTGGGACCGTAGGGGATTGCCTGAGGATACCTCCTGCTGGGATCCTCTTCTGGCATGGTTTGTGCCGCAAGGCGCACGTGGTGTTTGGTGGCAGCTATTCGATCCGAGAACATGCTTGCCAGTGTGGTCCGTATCCATGACAGTCCTGCCAGCTTCAGCTTGCCAGATGCTTTGGCAGGTTCTCATGCAGTCGATGAGCTTCTATAGAGCTTGGGCCAAGTTGCTGGAGGCGCTGAGAACGGGGTGACATTCCGGCCCTCAAAGACTGTTTGGAATTTGCTGAAGCAACCGATGCCAGTTCTTTGCCAGTGCGAAGAGGTTGTTCCAATCGAAATTCGTGAGCATGCCTTGTCTGAGTTGGTGCGTTAAAGGATCAAGCCTCCCTGAGGCAGATGGACGAAACCAGAACGCCTATATCAAAGCAATCCTCCAAGCAGGGCTTGCTTTGACCACGTACTTCCTTGCCAAGGTGGGCCTTTTGGCTGTTTTCCATTCCGACCAATCTGACGGGGCAAACTCTCGGCACAACTCGCTTCCGTTTGGACGTTGACAGGTTTTCAGGCCAGCAATGCAACATGGTCAGTCAGGCTGATTCCAAAGGTTGCCGGCACACCAAACTCCCACAGGTGATCACTCCCGAAATCCTAATGGGTCGTTGGCTAGCACGCTTGGGTCGTGCCACCCACCCGAGTTCGATGCGGTGCGACCACCACGCGGAGATTGTGAGGATCCCAAGGAGCCCACGTATGAGCAAGAGAGGCAGGTGGCCATGCTGCAACGTTCGGTCATTGCTGCCAACTCCGGCCACTGGGCTCGGTTAAGCAGTTGCGCAACCTGTTGTGTTCCGAAAGCCGAACCTCCCCCCGTTTCAGGCCAAAACGCTTGATTGACAAGTCCCACGAGTGGATATGAGCGGTGCATACCCCTGCAGATGCAGAAACGTGTTTGTTGCTGAAGGTCCATTTAGGTGCTAGACTCGAAGAGCATCGGACCAAGCAGCTTAAGACTTTGTTGGACCCTGTGGTTGCTAGGACCATTTGTTCTGGTCTTTGGGGACAATTGGCTCAAGAGCCACAAAGCTCCCTGGGGCGGCCAATGAAGTGCCATTTCCCAGTAAAACTTGACAGAGAGATCTGCGTGACTCGTAAGGCAGTGCGTCAAATCCATGCACCTGCCAGTTGTTCCTTGGCTCGCACAACGCCAAACACCGAAATGGAAGATGCAAAACAATGAGAGATAAGCACAAATCAATCTGAAATCACTAGAGTTACTAGGCCAGCCTCGTTTCGATCTTCCATCTTAATCGCCCAAACTGTTCTCTAGACTGCAGCTGTTGGCCACCCTGAAGCGGCAGCAACCGTGAAGACAACTAAGGTTCTACCAGTCCATGCTTCGAAGCTCACTTGCAAGTTGATGACTTCGAGTTGTTTTTGAAATTGAAGTCATTATGAAATGATAATGTTGATAGGATTTGTATGCAAGGGTAGTTACTCAGTGACGCTTTCAGGCTTTCAGGTACACTGTTTCACGTCGACTCATGAGAAGCTAACCCGGTGTGGTTGAGGTCAAGCGGTAAATTTCTGGAAATCATCCTTCAAGCCTCAACATGTGCGTCAGGGCCCCTCAGGTGCGGGACAACTTGAAAAGTGGGCGCTGGTGAGGCAAAATGAAGGATTCGGGGACCCTGCTAGAGCAGTTCTGACAGGTGTGCAGCACAAGCTCATGCATTGGATGTACGATGATGCTCACTGCCTGCTTGTCTTGCAGTAATTAGTTGTTGCAGGCGACGAGCACCATGATGCAGCTTTGGAGCTTTTGGTGCAAAGGGTCAGCCCATGTACCATCTTGGAGGAGTGGGTTGAGTCGGGTCTCACATCAACGTGGGGGAACTAGGAATCTCTCAATTCTTCTTGGCTCCAACTCCGCCAAGCAGTCATTTCAACATATCCCCCAAGAAAAACGCCATTTGTCACAGATAGCTGGTCCTCGTGTGAAGCTGGTGGTTTTGGTTGAGTATGATGATTCATCAGCTCCAAATGGAAGGCAGCCGCAGCCGCCATGACCTACTTGAGTAATAGGCAAAACAGTTGTTGCCATTTGTTGCCGAGTAGTGCAAGCTTTGTGGTGAAGATTCACACGCAGAGCCTTCCGTGAGCCGGGCCGAGTCTACCCTGTAGCAGCAGGGTTTTCGCGCGTGTCGGTATTGCTTTGGCCTTACGGAATTCCACGCAATTCCTTCGGCAACGAAAGAACGCCAACGTGGCGACCACAAACGAAAGAATGCGTGCTGGAAACTCTTTTCAGGAGCACAGTTGGAGTTTGCCCCGCGGACGCAAAGATCGAAAGACGAAGTGAGAAGTGAACGCTTTGGGTTGCGCAACTAACTAGTGACAGCTAGTGAGGTCCAACTTATTCCATGATGATCTTACCAAGTGCCACCAAGCACCGCCATGCAGCTAGCAATCTCACTTGTTGGTGTGTCCAGCACGGCATGTCTACACTGTGGTTGGCTAAAATGCCGGAAGCTTGCTGAATCGCTCTTGCTGCACTGTAGCTTTGGTAAGCGAAGACAATGTATACTCGCAGTATCGGGAGGTGGACCCCTATTTATAGAGAGTGTATGAGAGTGTTACAGTATAGAGTGCTATAGTCATAGTTACACACACACACACACATATATATATATACATACTACGAATATAACTAGTATATGATGCATATTGTGCATTATTTGATTTTTCCCCCTGATGCTTGTCTTTAGGTTTGTGCCACCAGACGAGGCGCGACTGTACCGTTACAGGCCAAAGCTTAAGTCGTTTCCTTTTTCATCTTTTGCAGACCCCTACAGGAAAACTTGTACTCAGGAAGTCGTGCCTTTTGCATGATTCTGCTTGTGATTGCTATGTGTTTGGCAATCGTCGTTTTCAACGCATGTTTTTCTTTTCAAGATGCGGTGCCATGCAGGTTTGTTTTGTTTGGGTTGATGTTGGGTGGGTGTACATTTCTTCAAAGAAGTGGCGGTGCCATTGCTGTTTGAAGTTTTGGGTGAGACAGCTGTCATTTTGTTGGAGATTGGGAGATCGGTTGCACATCATTGTTCCATGCTGAAGTGCAAGATTTTGAAACATTTACCATGTTTTTTTGCGTCCCTTACTGGCGCGGTTCCATGGTGAGAAGCTCCAAAGCCATGACTTTGGTATGACTTCTGGGAGCAGCGGTGCCATGCGGAAGAAGGGTTGGGGTATGACTTAGGCATGACTTAGGCTTTCCCCTGCCCTCCTGTGTTTTCGCGGCTCTGCTTTAGCTCCCAATTAGATCGGAACGGTGAAGAAGAGTGGGACTGGATTTTGCTCCTAACCAGGCAGGTGCAGGTAGTCAGCCCCAGTTTCCTCCGCAACCTTCCCAGCTTGGCCACAGCTGAAGCAGGCCCTGTTGTTGCCTCAAGATGACCCACTCAGCGGTGTGTTTGCTTGCTTGCCAAAGCGCATCATCACCCTGACAGTTTGTGGACAGCACCTTGGCTTTGAGAAGGCTGGATTTGGTGTCAAATTGCTCACCGGAACTTGAACAGATACAATGGACGACCCATGCCAAATGTCAGCATTCAACAGTTTTGAAGGTATTGGCTCTACAAACACGATGCGCCAAAAGCTCGGCAGTACTTCTTTGAAGCAAGCAAGATGCTGATTTTCAGCCTTGGCCTCAGGGGCCACAAGGAGAACAATGTTAAAACTCGAATCGTTCAGCACAGGCAGATGGAAAATAATCTCTTGTGCAATATTTTGCAATAGAGCAAGGCATGGATTGCTTTGATGGCGCTCTCCACACCTTTGACGAGAGGAAGGCCTGCTTTGCTCAGAGTGAAGCATTTGGTCTATCAACCTGTGGGCAATGGTGATTCGGTCACGGAGACATTTCACCACTTCCCAGTTGCGGCCATGGCATGTTGTTGGACATTTCATACTGTAGCACGTCCTTCATTTCCTGGTGGTAGGTATCAAGCCGGACTTCGATCAACACATGTTAGAAACGAGAGTAGAAACGAGGAGAGATGGGCTCTTGTGACTGATCCAGGAGAACACCCACCTTCTCACGGTCCCGGAGTTGCCACTCGCTTGGCAGTGGGCATGGCATAGCCACGTCAAAAATGGCAGAACAGGTGCGTGTGTCGACTTTGCTCAGTGGAAAGAAGTATGTGTCTTGATGACAGTTGTAGGATCAAGCTTCTCAGTACGCAAAAATTTTGAATTGTGGTCTCAACTAGGGCAGAAATCTCATGAAATCTCAAGGGTTTTGAATTTTTCGACGGTCGGCAAACATCTCTCTCCACACATCCATCCTCGTGGAGAAACAACCACCTACAGTAACAGGTGCTCGTATTTCTTCGTCCCCAGATTTGTGAAACCCAATCTAAACACTATGGTCCCTCAACGCTACTAGGGGGGATAAACGTCGGATCAGCGACTGAGGGTCCGGATCAGCGACCAGGATCAGCGACTGCTGGGTCAGCGACCACTTTTCCCGGATCAGCGACCAATTTTCCCGGATCAGCGACCAATTTTCTCAGATCAGCGACCAACTTTCCCGGATCAGCGACCAACACCCCCCTCCGGATCAGCGACTAGGAACTATAGCATCACTAGTGACCGATCCTGGCGATCGATCCGGGGTGATTGGTTTGGTTTGTTTTCAGTGGAGGAAGAAGAGGAGGGAGAGGAAGAAGAAGAGGGGGAAGAAGAAGAGGGGGAAGAAGAAGAGGGGG